AGGCCGTTCACAGCTTGGAAAACCCTGCCTGCCTGGACTTCATGAAAACTATAAGCTAAAATCTCATCAGGAATAGCTGCCGGGTCAAGACTCAAGACTTCTAGCTTTTGCTGGACTCTGCAGGGCCGTGGTACCAAAGACTGTTGCGTGTTACACGTTGCTTGAGCTCGGGCCTCTATGCAGCCATCCTGAAAAAAAAACTGCTCAGGCGTCCTTAAGGGCCTTAGTGAGTTCCACCTTAAGCTTCTTGGAAGCTTGGAGGGTGGTCACCGCGTCAAGCAAAACGGGCTTCATGTCCTCCATCTTGCAAGCCTTCTTGCCAGCCAGGGTCGTGCGGATCCGCTCCAAAGCCTGCAGCTGCTTGGGGAGGGACTTCAAGAAGGTGGCCTTGTCGTCCAAGCCGCTGCCTTGGATCTGGAGCTTCAAGCCCTGCAAGAGACCGTATTCCTTGCCCAGCTCAGTGACGAAGAGCTTGGCCTGGAAATGGTTGAGCGAACAAACAGCTACAGAAACGGTTCGAGCTAAAAAAAAAAAAAAAAAACAAGCATGAATCGAGTGGCCTTCTCCTTGAGCTGTTCACTAGTGGTCTCTTGGCTGACTTGGCTGGCTTCCTCCCACTTGTTCGTCTGGGCCTTGGGCTTGGGCTTATTTCCACCCTTGTTGTTGTTCTGCCCACTGCCGCCTGGCAAGCCCACGAAGGCCTTGAGCTGGCTGTCCTCGTCGTCACCTGAGACTTCGCCTAAGTCGAAGTCCTCAACGGCGGGGGCCTTCTTGAGACTGTCGAAGGCGAGGACCTCTTCGAGGGAGGAAGCGTCCGCCTTGGCCTGGGCCCTGGAGCCAGCTCTGCGGGAGGTCGTGGTGTCTTCGGTTTCCTGACAATTGTGAAACTGCATGACTCCACTATCTGTTCTTAAGTTTAAGTGGGAAAAAGATCAAGTATTGAAAAATTATGGCAGCACCAAGCCTTGTGGAGCTTGAACTGAAAGAACCTCCTGCCCTCGGGGTTTTTCCTGTGCTGGATGGTTCCAGCCGCCACTCTCGCCTTCAGCTCTTCCTCGCCGATCTTGTCGCACGTCTCCTTGTAGCTCAACCAGGAAGCTTGGAGGCCTGAGGAGTGGGTGCAACTGAACTCCACTGAGGACTGCTTGAAGTACTTGGCCGGCTTTCCACCATCTTGGATCCACCCCTGAGCATGCCCCTTTTCCTGGCAAGCTGGCCTGATCCTTGGCCAGCGCCGTCCTTGAAGGCTTGCTCGGCTCCTGGATTGCCCTCCCTTGACACCTCAAACTTCTTCCACAAGCACTGCTTCTGCTTCTCGTGGAGCTGCTTGAAAAAGTGGTCGAAGTCCTCCTCCGAAAGGTGCTTGGCTTCCTTGAGGAACCGGTTGTGGTCCTTGAGGGCTTGCTTGGAGAGCGTCGTTGCTGTCTTGGAAGGCTTGGCGTTCTTCGTCTCCTTCTCGCCCTCCTTGACCTCTTCTTCGGGCTCCTCTTGGAGCTCCTCGTCGTCTTGCTCCTCCACGTCGCCCTCCTCGGTTTCCTCCTCCTCTGGCTCCTCGGCCGTCTTGTACGGAACCAAGGGAAGTTCCTGGACGGCGGAGGCTGGCCGCTTGAGGATGCCCTGCTGCTTGGAAGCGGGCTTCTTCAACACACCCATGGCTGGATGCTTGGCGGAAGGCAGCGGCGTGGGCTTGACTTGGCTTGGATATGGCTGCAGATTCGCAATTTCCGCAGCACCTATACATTTTCATTGGTATGTGTGTGCACGTGTATGTATATATATATATATATGTATATGTATACGTGAAGGGAAGCTTGCCTGAAAAGTCGGGGGGTCTGACGTGGCTGGCGGGTGCAGTGGATTTTGGTTGCATTACATTCCCTATGATTCCTTTAGCAGTTTTTTACAAAGATGCCGCTGTACAGTATTTTATTTGAAGTTTCGGTGGTTGTGTGTAGCTGTAAACATCAGTAACTTAACGGGTTAAGGTCCATAGGCTATGTTTTTCTTTTTCAATTTCCAACTTTGTAGAAACTCGATATATTTTGGATTGCGGGCTGCGGTTGGTTGTGGTTTTTTAATAAAAGGATAGGGACGTCCCATATAAACCCCGTTAAAAGGAAGCCCAATAAGGTAGGGACATACCGGTAAAATGTTTATGTTTATGTGTTTTTTGGGTCCCTAAAGTTATATATGAGTTTGGGGTTGTACGTTTGGGGTATCTTTAGGTATGTGTTGGTTGTTTTGCTGTGGGTTGAACTTAGTTTTGGGGTTTTATTTTTTTGGTGGATTGGATTTAGGATCTGGTGTTATGGATTGCTGGTTTCAAGGGTTTAAGGATTAAGGGGTTTAGGGGTCTAGAGGTTTAGGGGTTTCGGGGTTTGGTACTTTCGAGTTTTGGGGTTTAGTAAGGGCAGAATTCTGGCGCTTGGGGTTTTGTGTTGTGGTTTTGGGCTTGGGGCTTCTGGTGGTGCTGGTGGTGCTGGTGGTGCTGGTGGTGGTGGTGGTGGTGGTGTTGGTGGTGGTGGTGTTGGTGTTGGTGGCGGGGTTGGTGGTGGTGGTGGTGGTGTTGGTGGTGGTGGTGTTGGTGTTGGTGGCGGGGTTGGCGGAGGTGGTGGTGGTGTTGGTGGTGGTGGTGGGGTGGTGGTGGTGGTGGTGGTGGTGGCGGGGGTGGCGGGGGTGGCGGAGGTGGTGGTGTTGGTGGTGGTGGTGGTGGTGGCGGGGGTGGCGGAGGTGGTGGTGGTGGTGTTGGTGGGGTGGTGGTGGTGGTGGTGGTGGTGGTGGTGGTGGTGGTGGTGGTGGTGGCGGGGGTGGCGGAGGTGGTGGTGGTGGTGTTGGTGGGGTGGTGGTGGTGGTGGTGGTGGTTGTGGTGGTGGTGGTGGTGGTGGTGGCGGGGGTGGCGGAGGTGGTGGTGGTGGTGGTGGTGGTGGTGGTGGTGGTTTTGGGTTTGGGGTTTCGGTGGTGGTTTTGGGCTTGGGGTTTTGGTGGTGGTTTTGGGCTTAGGGGTTCGGGTGGTGGTGGTGGTGGTGGTGGCGGGGGTGGTGGTGGTGGTGGTGGTGGTGGTGGTGGTGGTGGTGGTGGTGGTGGTGGTGGTGGTGGTGGTGGTGGT